CTAATGCTCTCTGAGGTCTAGAGCTACAGGAATTTCCAGGTAAACTTTTAGATGTAACACTCAAAATGCCTGTAAATATTCTAGGCACCCGAAAAGCTCACTGAAACCACATTTTTCTCTAGAAACACAAAAATACACTTCTGTACCTGCCCAGACATCCAGTATCTCACATGTTTGTTCTCAGGTCAAAAGCTAGAGGCAATTTTCAGTTCTGGGGAGTAGACAACTACTTTTTTTTGCTAAATGAAGTAGTCTAACTGGTGAGCTAGATGTCTATCAAATCAATACAATCTAGACATTTTAGTTAAAGCAATCTAGAAACATATCTATCTAGAAGGCTAGCAGATATGACATAGTACTTAAAGAAATACCCAGACCCTCTGCAGTGCTGGAATTTTTATTCATAAAACTATACTAGAAACTGTTTTTAAGAACCCAAATCTCTCTCAAGGAACTGAAAATCTTAATTCTCCTGATCTGCTGTTTGATAAATAACGTTGCACTGTGAGTAGCATACACATCCATGAAATTAGCTGAAAATAGCCAAAATAAGAGCATTATTCAAAAATATTTAATCTCTATATAATTCCTTAAAAAATCAGAACAAAATAAAAATACCTTTGTGATTCTATCATTATTGATTTTCCACTTATTTTGTCCCCAAATTTGAGTTCCAATGCCAAGCTACCTATAATGCTATACATGTTTTAAAACTAATCAGTTACGTATGTACTAATATTGGGGATCGTCGTGACCCAGGTGCAAGACCTTGCACTTGTCCTTGTTCAACTTCATGAGGTTTTTATGATCTCACTTCTCAAACCTGTCAAGGTTCCCCCACATGGCATCCCTTCCCTCAAGCAAATGACCTGTACCACTCATCTTGGTGTCTGATCACAATGGTGTTTGCCATCCACAGACTGGTTTCCACCAGTAATGAGTGTAGCCCTTAGTTTAGTGATCTATATTATAACCTGTAATAAAAAAAAAGATTACAGGATACGGTTGTCTCCTAGAAGCTTGAGTTCATGATCCCAGAATCATCTTCTGCCAGCTGTTTCTAGAAGCAATATAAACTGCAGTGTGCAGAGCTCAAATTAAGTCATGGGACTCCAGGAGGATTCAAGATCGTGCTATTACACAGCACTCCTCCTTTTATGTAAATACCAAGGAAGGTGGCTGCTCAATGGCTGATGGGAAAGTAAAGGAATACTTAGTAAAAGATAAGGATGATCTTCCCCTGCCATACTGCTGAGCTATCCAAATAAAAAAAAAACTTATTACAGTCTTCCGCCTAGTAATGAAGATGAGGTGTATTTTCAACCTTGATAGGATGAGGACAACTAGATTTCATTTACAATACAACTAGTATTCATTTACACTGCAAGCTTATGTTTAAAAGCTTTACTGTTTTTCTTGGATAAAATAACACTGAATTTTGAACTTTTTTTTTTTTAAAGTTCCCTGTAGAAACTAGTATGACCCTGCTATTATTGTTCAGTACTGTAGATTTGAATTATGAGTCACAGTGATAAAACATTTTCAAGTTCAAGCATTGCAGAGTAGTAAAATTTGCACTCCACTTCTTTGAACTGAACATGACTCAACTTCAAAAAACACCTCTAATCAATCAGACGACCTCCCTATGCAAAACAGTGTGATTATTTCCTATTTCACTTTCACTTGCTTGCTCACGATGTTATGATTCAGTGAACTTCTGTTAACCATCCAGTTTGAAGAATGTTCAAATTACACAATTTTGACAGTTTTTCATTACTGTTCTAGAATGCTTCATGTAATATAATCTTCAGATTAATTTCCTAAAAATCAGTGGTATTTCTGCAATTGTTACTGGGGGAGAGGAACCTCAATCCATCCCACTCCTACTAGTCTGATGCTGGTGCCAGCAGGAGATGCCCAGAGCCTGGAGAGGGGTCACAGGTCAGCAGGAGCACACCTGAGCAGCAGCACAAATGAATTCCAGCCACTCCAGCCAGTAATGGCTTCATCAGGGGCAAACTTAAATGCCTCTACGCAAATGCACATAGGATGGGAAATGAACAAAAGGAGTTAGAGACATGCATATGCCTTCTGGGCTATGATCTTACTGGCATCATGGGGACATGGAGGGATGGCTCCTATGACTGGAGTGTTGGACCGGAAAGATACAAGCTCTTCATTAAGGACAGGCAGTGGACATGAGGTGTCCATTTAATTGACAGAATCCCATGCTAAAATTATGCTAATGCTTCACCAAGACAGAAAAAATGTGGGGAGTATTTCTTTTTTCCATCTAAGAGTGTAAAACACAGTGAGAAGCCAAAAAGAAATCTAGAAATAAGAGCTGAAGGCATTGCTTAACCAGAGGTTGCACTGCTCAGCCAACTCCACTTCCATTTGCAGTCATAAACCCTGACAACAGGAGGCAAAGCAAAGACTCTGATCTACAACACTGAATCCCAAGAGCTGAAAAGTAGGCTGAGAAGAGCTGACAGCTCAAAGAATATGAGTTATATTGTGCCCTGATTTCTTCAGAGAATTAAGAGCTGATCTGTTTCCTAAAACTCCCAAGACTAGCGCTGCAACGATTTATTCTTGCTTTCTAATATGAAGGCTTTTTTATTCCCTCACATTTTTTATCATAAATGATACAAGACAGAAGGCCTGATTAGAGTCTGAGAACAAGATCAAGAATCTGACAGTATGTGGCTACATCAAAGAAGCTAAATAGCACCTCACAGACTACCACAGGGCTCCATCTGACCACTCAGCTGTCAGGTTGGGATTTTAGAATGAAATCTCACCATTTAAACTAGCTTACACCTGTAATGCAAGATGAAAATCTGAGAACAAAGCATGGGCCATTTGTTTTTTTTCATTACAGTTACTATATTGTGTATTGCCAGCAAGCACTTTTTGCATACTCTATAAATTGCAGTTTTCTCTTCAGAGAAAACATTAGTGGATGTTGAAGAATTTTAGCTGCAGTTGTGGATAAGAATGACAGCAAGAAAAAAAGTAAAAGTGATCAATGTGTGGGGATTTCTTTCGATATCTCTCTTAAATACAAGAGCACAATATAGCAAAATCTGCCCAAGCTACTCTATCTACCTGAACCAACTGTACCTATTTGAACCAATGCTTGTAATTATACACACTCTCACGGTTCTTCCATTCACCCAAATGCATTCCTGCTGTCCACATGTTTGGCTTGGGTTGTATATTTTCCTGAAAGCCTTCAGATCTATTCTGATTTGTCTCCTGAAAAACTCTTCATAGGAATATAACCTTGTTCTAGACAAAATAGCAAATATCTTCACAAATATTGCCATATTTCTGTTCATGTACTTTTGAGTACCTTCCAGCTGGCAGTGGAACGTGTGTATTTGTGGCTTACATATACTTCAGAAAAGTAACCAGCAGAGAAGCTGAAATAAATTTGTCTCAAGACTTACAACTTCATTTTCTACTCTTCTGCTTTTTTAACATATAGTCCAATTATCACTTCACAGGAACAAGGAGATTTTCAAAAGGCACAGCTGGCTTCTGATGTCCATGAACTTGCAGCAGGAATTAAAAGACAGACATCAATATACTCTACCACACTTCTCTGGTTTAATGTTGTTTGCTTCCCTTTCTTCTCCTTCTCCCTGAATCTCCCTCAGTGAATTATGAAGAACAAACAAAATGCTGAGAAAACAGTGAAAACTAAAATCACACCATCAGTTTACCCTTCACACCCCTCCCCAGATCTGTGTTTTATCTCAGTGTGCTGTGATAGATCTTGAGATAAGACTTTCCCTTCTTGGGACATGGCTGTGGCTAATTCTAGTGCAAGACAATGTAAATCTAACACAAATTATTAGTTCCAAAGAAATTAAGTGATTATTTTAACTTTGATTTCAGCTTTGTATACTTTATATCAGCCTTGTTTACTTCATATCAATTACTCTTTTTCCTGAAAAAAAGTATAATGAGTTTTCTGAAGAGAGTACATAGCTATAGCTTAGGTGCATTCATGCATTATGTGTACTATTCACTATAGTAACTCATAAGAGCTCAGCTATGATCATGGATCAGCATGGATGCTAAACTGTTAAACAGGATCCTGTTTATAAAGCGGGTTTTATTCAATTACATTTTAAATTGCTACAAATTGGAATAAACATGGTTCAGTGATGTAAAAGTCACAGGAGCTTTCAAAGCTGTTATTCTCTTTCTCTGATTTTTACACTTCGCATAATGGTACCCTCAGATCTCATAACTAACCTGTCATACTTCAAATTATTGCTTATTCAAAACTTTATTATATTACTATTCCTTCTCCTTGAATTTAGGACTCAATGATTACACTAAATTGAAATGTCATTATACTGCATCTAGCACAATGGTTACAGAAAAGTCTCATCTGCTTCGAAGTTCATAGATCATATAGAGTGAGAAGGAAGAACTATGCAACAGCAAAATTTTTCTAGTCATTTCTACATGTCTTTCCCTTTTCATTAATCAATGTGTCAGGCACAGTATGAAAGAATGGCAATTACATTAATCTGTTTTATAAATGGGATATATTCTATACATAGATTTCTAAACTAAAGCCTTGTCACATATTTTTGCAAACTGAAAGACCATCAGCTCTATCTGATGCAGTGTAGCCTGGAAACCCCAAGCCTTACGGAGAAGCAGTGTCACAATAGCCGGGTTTAATCCCATGTCATTTAACTACAAACTGATTCATATCAGTATTTACAGAGCTGAGAAATAATAACAATTCATGCTTATCATGAATAAACACGTAAAAAGCACTAATGTTCAGCAAGGATTGTATTCCATGTCTCATTATATAAACATATGCTAAACAGGCATTTTAACTGGAAGTATATATTGCAAAGATGTATTTCAAACATTTAAGAACACCAGCAGCAGAGACTTGTTCTAATTTCTTTTATATTAATTTTTACAGCAGACAGAATTGCTCTGAACATAGTGCAAGTACTTACCACTGTGTTGTATTTTTGAGAAGGCTTCAGAATTCTCCCATAAGAGGCAGCATGATGTCATTTTACTTACAGCAGAAGTTTTTCCTGTTAGGAAAAAATACATAGTGCTCTTCAGTAAATGAATGGGAAAAAAGGCATGCTTGTAAGTCACACATGGTGAAAAAAGTGACTTATTAATCAGCTGTAATGCTGTTTTTCAAGAATAAAAAAAGGAAAATCATAACACTGATACCCAGAGAATAAATACATTGATCATATTGCACTGACTTCTGTCATTAAAAAAATATTAGCAATATTTTTAGTTTGCAGATTGATCACTACTACAAAACCAGAATTCTCTTATAGCTATATACCACAAAAATATACATTTGGGGACAGGAGGGGGACGGGAGGGGGATGGGACCTAAAGCAAGCACTTAAAAGAAGAAAAAAAAAACCCCACTGCAAATCCTTGGGTTTTAAATATTTATGTAAACATGTATTACAAATATTCAAATATAAAATACATGAATTCAAATATATGAAAATATAAATATTCCATTTTTAAAGCCATTTGACTATTATTTTTTCTTTCTTATGGGTAATTCAAAACTGTAGTCAATTCTTCAAATGACATTTCAATGATAGGCTATTTGCCAATCTTCTATCCATTTTAGATAGACTATTTAGATAGGCTGAATAGCAGTATTTACCAATAGTCTCTACTGTCAGAACTATCTTGAGACACTGCAACTTAAAACTCAAACCTTAATATTGTTAAGAAAGTTATTTCAGGTAATTTGCTTAGGTTCCAAGACTGTATTAGCTGAAATACTTCTCTTCCCTCAAAGGCCAGCAGAGTTGATTTTACTGCATTCATAGCTACACACATTTTGCAGGGGAATTCATGCACAGACTGTGTGTTTCTGTATCTCTCTTAAAGTACCAAGGCACTTCATATAATTTAGTCTTATTGTCAATAAATTAATCATCACAAAGAAGCACTTTGTGTGCAAAATACCATTTCAAAAATAATTACAGGAGCAAGGGTGAGGCAGTCAAGTATTCCTATTAGCTTGCTAATACGTCAAGCAACCTCAATTTCTGAAAAATCACACAATGCATTTGGTGACAGCATAGTGCCTATTAACACTGTAGAAACACTTCTGCAATAAATTGGCAAGCATGTTCCACAAACTTATATGGCTTTCAGGGTCCATCAGCACCTTACTCATCAGCAGGAACAGACATGACTTCCAGGTAACAGATGAAGTATGGACTATCATCACAAACAATGTATCTATACATACACATGCATACAAACACATTCTCTCTGTGTATGCATGTATCCTGTATATTAAGAAATTAACCAGGTTTTAGCAATAAGAATCCTAAGAAGCATGGCAGTGGGTTTCCATATCATATTTCAGAAACTTTTCTCATACTATTTAAAGAAAAATCATCAGATCTTAGCCTTTGATTTTGACCAAAATCAATATAAAATTGTTTACTATAATGGTGTAACTTACTTGCTACTGGCAGATTCTGAAATTTTAATCACAATGAATGACTTTCTCATTAATGTTTTTACTCACTAGGGCAAAACCACTACCTGTAAGTGCAATTCATCCCAACAACTGCAAACACAGTCCTCAATTCTGTGTAAAGTCGTGATTATAAACTGGAAATAAATACCAGGAAATGCATATCTGAATGCATGTCTGAAACATACAAGTTCAGGAATATGGAAGCAAAGCAAAATTCCTTATGAATAAGGAATGTGTGAAACACTCTAGATAAACTGTGAGAGTGTCCATCTAGACACTTGCTGCAGGGGAAGTCTGGCAACACTACAACTTTTCATACACACCCGTTGAGGAATCAGATGTTGAAGTTTAGGGCAATCTTTACTCCAAGCTACAATAATGTCTTAAATCTCTCCACGTGACAGTGGCACTTTCACTGGAGATTTCACTGCTCATGGAGACTTTGACAGCCATTCCCATTCTCCAACAGTGATTAAACCTAGGATATAAGAAATAAGGAAGGATTTAAGGAATGGCTGGACAGTGAAAATCCACTAAGGCTAAGACAGCTTCCCTTCTGTTATTTTAAACTTGCACTTCCTTATTTCGGTAGCCTTTATAACTTAATTCTTGCTACAGGAACAGAATAAGACTCATCTTGGCTTTACTGACAAAGATGGGGATTGCATATACTGTCTCTCCACAGCACCAAAACAGTATCCACCTTTAAAGCATAAAAATTAATTAAGAAAGTGCTATTTGTGAACTGTGTTTTCCAAGTTTATCTTTTCACCTATCTATTTATCCTTTTCACCTTTGGTTTGTCATATGGATGTTCTAATTATCCTTTCCAAACTGATTTTATTTATGGATGACTAGATTATAGTTTAGACTGTAAATATTCTAGTAAATCACACTGTCTTCTACATTTCCACGTTGTGTTTAGACTTTCTCTCCGTAATAGTCAGTTACCCTCTGAAGAAAAAAACAACAAGAAAAAAACAACTGCAAATACAGCACTCCCTTGTATCAGGAAGGCACACATGTTAAAAGACTAACAGTCAAATTCTAAGACGAAATATAGATGTTGCCTACATATATATTATGTCATTTTATCTCCATATAAATGACAACCGATTTCCTCATAATTGTAAAGTATTATTAAAATATTAAGGGAATCTGGCAGTCCTTCTAAGCATATTTCCCTGAAGCTTAAAACACATTTTCTCACCAGTCCAGGCTCACATGTAATTTGAATCTTACAGTGTTAGGATGATCCTAGTTCTAAGTTACTCAGTTTAAGCTTACTCAATTGACTCATTTCACAGAATTACCACAACAGTCTCTTATTTTATGGGTGATAAAACAACAAGCAACTAATACTGACACACTTATCTTAGTCTTTACCTGAGAAATAAGATCTGTCTCATAGATGTTTTGTTTCGAACTTGATGACCTGCTCTTTCCAGCTATCGCCTCTGCCAGCTCTTGTCAATACCCAGATATAGGCTGAAAATATTTGTTTATTCTTTGATGCTCAATTTTATTCATCACAATGACTGGGTTATTTTAATTAACTTCAATTTAGGCAGACAGGTTCATTAAGTCTCTCTGAGAAAACGTGCCCTTTTAAATGCAAACTTAGCATCTTTAAATCTGCATCTTTTACAGTGTTTACATTCTTTTCCCCACTGATTCAGTTTCATATCAAGTTCTTTCTTCGGAACATTTTAATAATAAGCCCTCCCCAATGCTAAATTCAAGAATTTCATACTCAGCAACATGTTCAGTAGCAAAAAAATTTTCAAAACTTTTGAACTATAAATAGAAAATCACAGATTAAACAGCGGATAAATGTATTTGGGCAGTTTTATGATGCTCTCTCAGCATCAATAGCCCAGAAGGCAGAACATCAGATAAGGAGATGATGCTATTTCAACTTAATTGCCTGGACAGTTTGGGAGGAGGTGCACCTTAAGAAGACAAAAGCCAGCTACAGGTAGATCCCACAGCAGGAAATGGACAAAGCCCAACTAGATGAGTATCACAGATGCACAAATGAAATCAACTTTCTCCTTAATTTAGGTATTTGAAAACTAACTAACTAAACCTGACCTCAGGCTTCCTTTGCATTTAGTGGGGAAAAAAATAGGCATCCCAAACTGTAGAAGGCTTATACATCTCCATGAGACAAATACTGTGGGTTTTAAGTAAGAAATCAAACAACCCACTCTTCACATATACCAACTGAGGTTATGTTGACTTAGAAATAGCTAAGAAATGAGTGGTGGTATCTTACCTTCTTTACATAAAGCAAATGTAAGTAAGTATCAAACAAGCAAAGGCAGTAAAATGTAACTTCTCTGATAAATGTACAGTAACTCTTTCTTTGCCTACAGGTAGGGAATTCACCAACATGAAAAATCTCCCATTTTGAAGACACATTTTTCAACTTTAATCAAAAACAGCACACCAGAAGACAGAAAACCTCTCATGCACACACTCCCTCTAAATGTATATTTTCCAAATGTTATTCCTTGTGTTGCTTCTTTCTCCCTCTGACATAGTAGTCTCCTCAAGATTTCCTGCTCATTTCTTTCTGCTTTAAATAGTTAAACCTATGAACCTACTTCTACCTTTGGTCTTGATTCCTCCCTGTCCCATAAGGATCCATTTGTGGTAGCATACTCAGAGAAATGAGGAAAAAGAGACTGACACTCTTCTGAAGTCAGAGGTGAGGCACTGTGTCCTCGGCCACAATTAACTAAAATATCCAAGAGAACAGGTGGGTGGCTTCACAAAGAAACTACAAGAAAAAGAACGAATAAGAATGTATGACTCTAGCAAGGTCTGCAAGGTCAGGAAAAACTGTGAGCAAGGCCCAGAGATGGGTGGAGAAAGTAGTCAGAACATCCTAACACAAATGACAACCACAGACTGCTCTTCAGAGAAAACAGGCTCCTACCAAACATACAATTGCAGAAGCAGAAGAATGATAACACAGAAACAGAAAGGCTGAGGCCATCTCCACAGGATGCAGACCAGGGAAGAGGAATGAAGCTGTAATGCATGATGGGAGCTAGGATCAAGTGATGTGAATCTGAAGGAGTCCCTATTTTCACTAACATCTGGAAAATCTTCTTGCCTTGGACAGTATTTAGATACGAATCTTTGCTAACAGGACTGGCAAAACACACGTGAGTTTCTTATGTGGTCCATGTAAGAACCACTGTGAAGTACTTGTCAAAACAAAGGTATCATGTGTGATGCAGCAGATAAAAATTTTATCTTCTGATGAATGATGGTAAATTTTTGAATAGTATATAATACACATTTCATTAGAAAATTTATTTTTGTAACACCAAAAAATGGAAATCTAAAGGATGAAAGGATTACAATATGAGTACAGCAAGATTCCAAACAAACCTAATAATTAATGCTATAGCTCAGAAATCTGAAAAGCTCCAGAAATAAAAAAAAAAAAATTGCTGAGGGGGAAAAACAAAACGAAAAATTACACAAATAAATCCAAAATCCCCCCTCAAAAAAAAAAAACCTCAAACAACCCCAACAAAAAAA